AATTAAATGACATTTCCACATTATTTACTTCTGAAAGTTGAAGAGCCAAGGAAAGTCTCAGTCTCCACAACTCCTAGGGCCATTTCCAAACACAGTGTTAGGTTGGCAGCCTCTGATGTGAAGACCCACTATGATCCCTGACTGTTTGCCATTATGGATTTGTTTTTGAACTTCTCCCCAGAGGGCAAGTGGAGAGTTTCTGGACCTTTTCCTTGTTTAGCACTTTGTAGATAAATAATTTTCTTCTAATAATTCCAAATGCAGTGTCCTGAAGAGCTCAAAGCCATATGTGGAGATTTGCTAAAATCTCTCAATTATTGAAGCATGTTCCCATGAATTAATTAAAAAAAAAAAAATACTAGGTCAGATCAGTGGTCCATTCCACCCAGTGCACAGAACTAATGCTGACAAAAAAGGATCATTTGTCATTTGTGTTCCCTGATGTCAACTTCAAAGGATTTAGCAACTGCCCAAGCAGGTTAAGCTTGTTCTAATTACAAACTGTAACTCAACCATTCATCATTTTAGCACAATCCTTTTAAAATTTATTGGTATAGATTTATGCAGATTTTGTTCACTTCTGTGTTGGTTAACTCAAAAGTGTTTATTGGGTACCTTTGCTTTGCAAAGAAATTTCTGAGATATCAGATCCCAAGATGATTAAAACCTGCTGTTCTTCCAAAGCTCAGGTAAACAATGACAGTTCTGTAATTACAGATGGGTTATGACGGCGAACAGCAGAGAACACTTTAGAGTCACACTATGGGGACTGCATTTCCTTGTTAGGAGAAGGATTTTTCAGGTGGCCACGCCCCTTTTATACCAGGCCTCAGAACAATCACACGTGTTGCACTAACACCCCCCCTGGAGCCTGACCTGGAAGCCCCCCAGCCTGAAGCAGAGCCACCCTTCCAAGAGCAGGCAAATGGTAGTGAAGTCCCACCACCGTGAGAACAAAGGCTCGCTGTTCTTCAGTCTTGTTGGAATCTATTTTCTTTTGTGGAACATTATTGCAACAACAGCTGACTAATACTAAATATAAAGTCCTAGCACATGAAAGAGTCTCGATAAATGGTAATCCAATTGTTCTTTTTCTACTGGTATTAAGTCCACTGAAAATTAAATGTGCATCTGAGTGAATCTGTCTGTACTCTATTTAAGCAAAATATGCTACTATTCCATTACAAAAAAAGCATCTACTACCCCACTATGGGGGAGAAATTCAAGAGAGACTCATTATTGTGCCTAGAATCCACTTAAACATGTAAGACATTACCAGGTCAAGTATAGGAACTGTTGTCTGTCATGGAAGGGAAACTTAATAAATATATTTTTGGTGTTCTCTCAAATGAGAAGGAAAAGATCCTTGGGGACATGGGGAGACGTGGCTGGGCTCTGCATTAGACCCCAGTGGTTTTTCCTTTGCAGCAGGCCCAAATGTCAGGTTTGAGTAGTGAGTTGGATCAGGTATGCAACCATTTGTCCACTGATAGAAGCTATTCTAAGTCCCCCCAAAAGGAGAAATAAAATTCTTATGACCCTGCTCTAAGAGACCAAAAGGACTTGGTTTTAATTTTGGGCTTTCCTTTATTTATGAGAGAAATTTGAGTATTGCAAACTACCTGTCACAGGTAAGTCTGCAGCTCGTGAGTGCCCACGAGCTGGCCTGGCATTTGGGGTCTTAACCTTGACCCAAGGTATGCCTTGTCATGCTCAGAAAAGATTCATGGGGACACTGGCACTTTTTGCTTATGCTTCAAGTATGTGCTGAGCACTTACTTAGTGACAGCAAAGGATTTAGGAACAACGTTGTGAAGAAAAAAGAAAAGGAAATTAGCCGCCACTGAGGGCCATTCATGGCATCTTGGTTCTACACTTTCTTTTCTTTTCTTAAAAATTAGAGCACTAGAGTTATACGTAATCGCTGACTTAATCCCAACATAATCATACGTGCATGGAATTTCATTTCAGCGCACAGCTTCCCCTCTTCCTTCCTTCTCCCCTTCTCCATTCTCCTTCCTCAACGCTACTGGTCTCCCTTTAACTTTCTTATTTATTATTTGGGATTGGTTCTTTCTCCGTATACATCAGGATGACATTCCCTGTGATATATTTGTGCATGATCAGAGCATGATCTTTTGACATCACCTTCATTTCCTCCCTTTTCCGGGTCCTACTACTTCTCTCTCAGTCTCCCTCATCTACTCCACTGACCTTCCCTACATCTTCATGACATCTGACCCGACCCTCCTTCTTTCCCTTATTTTGCTCTAGCTTCCAAACATAAGAGAAAACCCTCAGCCCTTGATATTCTCGGTCTAGCTTATTTCACTTAACATAACCTTCTCATTTCCACCCATTTACTGGCAAATGCCATGATTTCATTCTTCTTTGTGGCTGAGTAAAACTCCATTGTGTATCTATGCACCAAAGTTTCTTAATCCATTCATCTATTGACAGGCATCTGGGCTGGTTTCATAATTTGGCTACTGTGAATTTTGCTGCTATAAACATTGAGGTGGCTGTATTGTCACCGTATGATGATTTTGGTTCTTTTGGATAAATACTGAGGATCTACATTGTACTTTCAATTCTCACAATAGCCCTATATGGTAAGTAAATTTTGTTTGTTTGTTTTATATTTTAGAAAGTGAGAATGCCTAGTCTCAAGGTGGAGATTTGAGTTGGGCTTCCTGGAAACAGACTGTCCCAGAGAACTGTGTGTAGGAGGTTTATTGGGAAATGCATTTGGGAATCAACCCTGTAAGGAAGGGTGGAAGCAGGACTGGGCAGAGAAAAATAGGTAACTCATGATGTGTTCAATGTGTTTATAACAGAAGCTTTCTGGAATTGTCACAGATTGACCAAGGGGGCTCAGAGACATCTGAGTATACAAAGAGTATAGTATACAAAGAGAATTATTAATTCCTTATTATAAATATCCATGTGGGAAGAATGTCACTGATTTGTGTTATTTACCTGGTCATACATTCCTGGATTCATTCATTCATTCACCAGCATGCAGACAGCCCCTATGACATGCCCCAAAGTACACGGGCTGATGTATCAACTCTGAATATGGATAAAATGTACTTTCTGTCCTTTGGTGGCCTTGAAATCCAGCTTTGTGCATGTCTAAGTAAACGAGGTCTTTTAAAAAGTGAATATATTTACTTTAAAACTTAAACCAAATTAACACAAGGACGGACCTAATCTCCAAACTCATTTTCCCTCAAGTCTACAGGAAATCCCTCAAGGACAAGAAGACACTTGTATAACCAACCCAAGTATTCTCTTCCCCCATGAAAACCACTCTTTGTGGGCAGGAGCTAATTAAAGAGTACACTCTGCTGTCTCGTCCCCTGCTTGATGGATTTGGCTCTGCTCAGAGGCCAGAGGCTGGCTTGGATTGCTTCTGAATTTGCCCTTGCAATCTCTGTACTTCTCTCTCTGCCACAGGGAAAATGATGTTCTCACTGTGAATAATAACCCCTTACATGAAGTAACTGAAGAAAGTAGATTGGAAAATAAAGACAGCTCAGTAAAAATGTCATAATAGGTAAGAAGCTCTGCCAGTATGCTTCCACTGGGACCCTTGGCCCATTATCCATCAATATTTTGGGCTTAAAGTAGACAATGTAATTAGTATGACACCATTTGCTGAGACCTCTGTGGACATGAAAAAAACCACAGTTCTGGCTTGAGAGCATCCGTGCCAACAGAGCAATATAAACCAAGCATCCGTAGCTAGAAATGCTTGCCAGAGACAAGCTAAGCTTCCAACCAGTTTGAAGCAAACAATGCACTCCAGCGTGTGGACTTTTGAATCTATTGTTCCACTCAGGAAGAAACTCTGGGGGTCTACCACTGCTGAACTGCTTGGAAAACGACAGTCCAAAGAATAAAGAATGATCTAGTATAAACTGAAGAAGGGGGAGTTGACATTTGAAGTGTTACACTGAGGTTGAATTATGCTAATCAAATTTCTTAGAAGCACCCAAAACAACAAGTTTCATTACTGAAAGAGAACCAAAGAAAAACCCTCTGGAAACTAAAAAAAAAAAAATAAGACTCATTCATGAACTCTTTAATTCATTCACCCTTTCAGCACTGTGTATTGAGCACCTACTGGATGCCAGACACTATTCTAGGAACTGGAGATATGGTAGGAATTTTTTTTTTAAGTTCTCATTTCCTGGGAGAAAATAAATATGGGTAAATATAATATTACAGACTGAGAAGGACTATGAAAAAAAATCAGACACTATAATGTTTGTATGAAGAATACTGGTGAAATTAAGGATTTTTAGATGGAAGATAAATATAGACTTCTCCAAAAAAGTATGATCTGAAAAATCTAAAAGAAGAAAAGAATCCTTCCTTCTTTGGGAACCTATGGAAAGCAAGAGGGGACTCCAGGAAGACAGCAGCCAGTGCAAAGGCCCTGAGGTGGAAACAAGCTGGGCATAGCTAGGGGAATTCTAGCAAACCAGCTCATAGTCTGCTTCTGAAGTTGGCTGACCTGGCATATGGTCTCTGAAAGGAAGAGTTGCCTGTTCCTAAATTGTCCAAAGATATAGACAGCTCAGGAGGCCCCCAAAACTTAGAAAGCAAAATGGAGATTGACAACAGGCATGATTGGCACAATCACACCATGGTACCGTTGGAAAAGCAGCACACCTGAAGTCACATGTTCCCTTTCCTAATTCAGATGCTGTCACTCCTGAGGAGGCGATCTAGGGACAGCTCCTGTTCTGTTTAGAGCCTTGACCCCTTTCACAAGAAACAGGAAGGCTGAACTGGATGATCCCCAGGACAACGTCCCCCGACACTCTCCATGGCCGGTGCCCCGGCTCTTTCAAGGGCAATGCCAATGGACAGCCTTACATGGGATCTGGGGCGAGCCCATCCGGTAATGCTTGGGTTTTGTTTGTTTAGGTGAAAATAATTAAATTAATTATCTTTTACACAATAGCCAGCAAGCAATTTTTTGAGTGAGGTGAGTAAGGGAATTAGGAGACTAACCCCGATGGACAAGGGAGATAGAAGGCGGGCGTGGGTCTCTCCAGTGGATGAAGAACACCCACCCACCTCTGTGCCAGGTGGTGGCTGACAACATGGATTTCTGAAGATTTGGCTCGTTGATCTTAGGAACCGATTACAGATTGTCAGGAATTTTTTAATAAGGCAGATAATTGGGCTAGATGCATTTAGAGCATCCACTGAATGATGAGTACGTCTCCATTTTCAGAGTACTAAAGAAATATACTTAACTTTTAATTTAATTATCCAGATTAGAGGGAAGGTCACTGCCTTATTCTACAAATGAGCAAGTAGAAACTCAAAGTAGCCAAGAAAATAGCTTAAAATTACTGATTTCCAACAAAGCCAGGACTAGAATCCAGGCTTCTTGATTATAATTCCTGTACTTTGAGATGTGTGTAATTGAATGATATTATACATATATTTAGTGAAATATTTTCAGAGCCCAGGTTTCTTTCATATCAACAGGTTTCTATTAACCAGAAGAGTTCTTTTGTGTGAACTTACAAGAACAAAGGAGTTCAGCATTCCCGTTCCAGGGTACCTTGGGTGGGATTGTACCCCATCCGGGAACCCTCTGGACATTCAGTATACAGCCTGCAGAGCTGTGTCAGCCTTGAGACTGAACAATCACTTTTTGATCATTTGAGAATGTAGTGAATTTTACCCTTTTTGACGAAATAGCAAGAGGAAAAAACATAATAAATATTACGCGTGCTCCGCTTTTTGCTTTCCAATGTGCTGAGCTATTTCATAATACTCTGGTTGCTCTAAAGAGCAATCTTAGGAGATGTCAGGACAGCGATTGATTGGGAGTTGAAGATTCAGAGAGACATTATGAGCATCCCATCTTCTCACAGTCAATAATCGGAGGAAGTGGATCTCCATCTGAGAACTTCCAAAGCCAAGCGCAATCACGTTCTTACCTACTCACCAGAGAAACATAAGCCTACTGGTTTTATTATTGCTGTTGTTTTTCTTGCTTGAATTCTTACAATTTCTGGAACAAGACTTTAAAGAGTGAGTTCTCAGAAGGAAGTTATCAGGGGTGAAGTTCAGCTGTGATCTACAGGTTTCATTTTTCCAAGGAGTCTTTGTTCTCCAACTGGGGTGAGCCAGTCCATCTCTCCTCCACATGGGGAACTACTGTCTGCAGGAAAGGAGGTGAGACCCAGCCGCACACTCCACCTTATCAATGTGAGGATGTGGACCTGTCCAAATGCAGAGAAAATGACGATGCTCCTTATGAAACACATGTGTGTCACTGAAAAACAAAAGCATCTTCATCAAGAGTTGCTCAGTTTTTGGAACACAATGAAAGACTTTGAAAAGTCATAATAATTTCACCAACATAAACTGTTACATTTAAGAAACAAAACTCCCCCACACTCTGTATTGTGTTTATAATGCCACATAAACATTGGCCAAGAGCCCATTTTTTTTACTTTTGAGTTCTTTGTGTTGGTGTCCTGGGAAGAAGGAGGGACATATGCGGTGCTGTAGCCTTCTTCAGTGTAGGACAGGATAATCTGCATTTCAGCACAGAAAACATGGGAGGAGACATTCTGCTTCGAGCAGAGAACTTTTATGTGGAGTTTCCGCTAGCTCACGGAGAACCTTGCCACACTTTTCAATTGCTGACCACACTTTTCAATTGTGTTTGGAAGTGTTTACATTTGAAATGTGTCAATAAGCTTGTGGTCAACCTGTAAATCTTATTCAAACCTGTTGGCCTAAACTCAGTGGCTCCAGTTGTAACACTGCCCTCTGCCCAGGGCATCTGTCTGGGCTCCAAGTCCTACACCTGGTTGCAGTGTGCAGGGCTCCTGGGGGTGCAAGGAACTCTCTCTGTCTCTGGGAGGAGCCCCTTGGAGCAGGCATGTGGGAAGCCCTCACGTTCTCTGGGCCTCCCATCACCCTAGGCCTGAATGTTTCATCCTCTCAGCTCTGCACCCCATGTCCAGGGACCTGAGTGCCCTGCCAGCTGTTATTGGGAATCCCACGAACCGCAAAGAGGAATTTGGAGAAGACATCATGGCCACTTGGAGAAACAGACCCTGAGGATCATGGGAAAAAAATATGAGAGAGAACAGCTACAGACTTCTTTCAGATGCAAAGCCAGACATTTATTGGTTAAAAAAAAAAGAAGTTTATATAGAACTGTTAAAAACAGTTAAAATAATTTCTACCAGCCAAACTCATGTTAGGCAGAATATTTGCTCCTTTTTCTCTGAAAGCATTGATAATCACTCTTCTTATGACTAGGACCTCAATCTGAGAGCAGAGATGATGACTGTATGTTTTCTTTGGCCTTTTGTGGGAAGGAAACAGCAGGCCTCCTTTGCTCCTCCTCAGTCTCTAGGGCCAAAGTCTTCCTGATGTCCCCAAAGGACTTGGACTGACATGCTTTAACAAGACGGCGATAACACTTCAATGTATTAATAATCTTTAAGAATGGTGATAAGTGCATTCAAGAGCATGGGAGATTATGTTCTTTACAATTGAAAATTTGAAGCCTGTGTACTCCTCCTTTTAGTTATGTGGAGAAAGCTTTCCATTGTGAAGAGAAATTCAAAAGGTGCATTTTCCATCCACCTTGCTGGGACCAGCTGTTTAAATCCGCCCTCGGGGCATCCACTGCAGTCCACGGGCCCTTTCAAGGCATCTGCAATCTGTTGAGAAATACCTGAATTATTTTTGAAAATTGATCTGTCAATATAAGTATATAAATAGCAGGCACTCTCTTTGACTGTTGGCTTCATCCTTCTAGTGATGGTATATTGATCAGAATAAGCTGCTCAGTTACAAAGTAACTGTGTTCCCAGGATCAAACCTTATTGTTTGGGAAATAGACAGGCAAGGCTCTCGCATTGACAAAGTACAAGGTTACATATGGTATTTGTTGATGGTGATTTTCTGAAGAGAATTAACCCAGAACAATTTGATAAAGTGAATTCGTACATAACGTGCATAGTTAACCATAACATTATGGCTGAGGGGAACAGGTTTGGAATTAGATCACCTGGGCTCAGATCCTGGCCCTGGCATTTCTGATCTGTGTGCTGCTTGGAAAGAGTGCGGAGAGCCTCCATTTTGCCACTGAAGGCTAGAAGCTGCCGTGGGCTTATTATGGAAATTCATGAAGATTAAATGTGTGAAATTCCCAGCGAAGCTTCAGCCATCAGAGAATGTTAGCTAAGACAGTTTCCCGTGACTTAGAAGAATAAAGTCTGACATGCTAAAGCCACTCAAGAAAATTCACAAGAATTCACTCCTCCTGGATGATACCCAAACCTCTGATTTGTAAAAGCACATGTTGATGAAAAAAGAAGGAAAAAAGCCCTGATTTTACAATTTGAGATCTTGAACAAATTGTTCATCCTCTCTGATTCTCTGTAGAAAGGAAGAAGATGATGTCTCTTTCACACTTGTGGAATAAGGACAAATGAACACTGTATGCAAATTGCCCTCTACCATGCCTTCAAGGAATGCAGAAGGTACTCATAATCAGGAGTCTCCTCATCCTCTTTTCCTGTCCTCAGACTCAGATGGCACATTGTTTTAATTCGTCTAAATTGAAGATGGGAACAACATTTTGCAGTGAAGTTTTAGGTCAAGGCCATCGGTTCCTAAATCTAGTGCAAGGAGCCCTCCTTTGTGGAGAGATTAGACGGATTTCCATCACAATGTAGCCTCAAGCTTCATTGGTGGAGAAGTCCATCCTTCAGAGGAACTTGGGCTTTGTGCTCAAGTTCCTGTCTTGTGGCCAGCGGTGCTCTTCGTTGATTGGAAGGACACTGACTCTCCCATTTCACATTCACGGGCTTGCCAGATGGTGGCTGGGAGAAAGTTGGCGAGTCTGAGTCATCTTCCCCAGACTCCAAACCTGTCTAGAGAAACTGTCGCCACCCCCTCCCCTATTTTATTGGAAATGCCTGAAGGTGTAAGCTGTCACTGAGTAAGTTTCTCACCCAGAGAATCCAGTCTCTCTTACTCTTGATTCACACTGTTCTCAGGAAGCCAACTGACAATTTCTAGTCAAATTAAGTGGACCAATCAGGGATTTTAGTTTGCCCACTGTTTTGCTAGATTTTAATAAGGTAAGGTGGTGACTAATGTGTTCCAGTTTCAGTCTGGGACAAGATAACCCTTCCCAGAAAGCTGGTTCACTTTTTTCAAAGACAAAATTGTGTTATAGAGTTGAAAGATCAGTTAGGGATTTCCACTCTGGTCGGAAGTCTGGTAAATGTATGCTAATTTTCAAATACAGGATTGACTTGGACTTCCCTAGTGCAAGGAGATTCTGTTTTGAAGTCAATGGAAAATGATTTCCTCCCTAGTTAAAAAATAATGCATTCACTTATCTTAAAAGTGAAAGAGTCAGAAACTAGACTTCCTTTTAAACTTGAACCTGTCAGGCCACAGGAACTTCCTTAGCAAAATGTCTTTTTTTATTGCATATAACATACAATAAATCCTTAGCGTTTTGACCAAACCAGACCTAGCATTAATGTTGTAATGTTGAATGCCATGATATTTCTGTTCAGACTTCTCAGAAAATTTACATCTCCTGGGAAAGTATTTGAACAAATTCTCCACTCTATTTCCAGGATGTTACTCCTCAAAAAAGTTCAATGGCAAAGGTCTGGCTTTCAGACTGCCTTAGTAATCTAGCTTTACAATGAGCCTGAATGCCTTCAAGGACATGTGCTAAGGACATGTTCTGAGTTACTTAAGCATTTCTATTGTGGACACCTGCTATACAGAATTAGACAGCACATAGTGGTATGCAGTCTTGGGGTGTGGACTATTTGCTTCTTCACAAAGTTTGCCATAACAGTCTTCATCATTACGAGAAATTGGTTTTCATTTATTTGCCTTGATTTTGCTTTTCTCAATGCAGCTGTTCAGATTCAGCTTGAGCTGTGCTTGCAGGCTCTCCCTGTGTGCCGAGCACTGTGATTAGCCTTTCATCTGTCAACTCATTTCATCTTTGCAGGGATGGTTGAGGCACACGGTCCTGTGTCTGGAGCTTCAGAGGTTGGAATGACTTGCCAAGCTCACTTAACTCTGTGGCCCCGCAGTCACTTAGAAAACTAGCACAGCCAGGGTTTGAACTCAGCTCTTTCCAAGTTCCCCCTAGATCTACTTTGTCAAAATTGTATTGGATACAATGTCATCCAACTGAAAAAAATAACCCCAAAATTCTGTGATCAAAGTAATTCGAGAAGTATGGAATGAAATAAAGTTAACTGGTTTCTTAAATATAAAATTAAAAAAAAATACAACAACTTTATGGATATATAATTCACATATTCCACACTTCACTTGTTTAAAATTAACAATTCCATGGTTCTTAGTACATACAAGGAGTTGTGCAATGACCACCCAAATCAATTTTAGATCAATTTAATAAAATAAAAACAGAAACTCCGTAATATAAAACTGTCTTTGAACCAAGAATGAGGTTTCATATGAGCCAAGAAGTGCCTGTGGCTGGATTATGTCCCAAATGTTTTCTCAGTTAAATCCTTTCTATAAGGAACCACACTCAGAAGACTCAACAAATGTTGGGAATGTTGCTGTGTCGTATTTCAAGCTTGCCATTGTGTGCAGTGTGCAATTTTCTGAGCTTCTTACAGCATGTCAGAGTATCAGGGCTCCTTTAGGTTTGCTGCACATCCCCACTGTTGAAGTCATTGAGGCATAGCAGAGGAGACCTGGCCCATGCCCATGACACCATCAGAAGCCCACAGAGGTGAGAGCATGCTGAGTTTATCTGAAGCAGTTCCGCTGATCCAGGAACATCACCAGGATCTTAAGAGCATGAATTTGGAAACGTGCTATGAGGTGAGCCTCAGAATCCATCTTCCAAGGACCTAGGTTCCAAGAGTCACAAAGGGACTTTATGTGTTTCATTTGGAGTTTCTCTACTAGAACTTCATAAGCATCAAAGCTCTAGAAAACAATAAACACCTGCCCTTGTTTTTGACTATGTATTTGAAGAAAAAAAAGTTATTTATTTAAGTGAATTCAGTACAAACCCAGCTAACAAGGGATCCAGAGAAGGGAAATTACACAAATGCACACAAAAAGCAGTTTCTAGATACAAAATTGTACCAATATCCATTGAAGTGAAGCAAAACTTCCTGAGTCTTCGAGGTCCTGCACTTTCCACAAACAAATTTACCATTGGGCTGGTTCATGCAGATTTACCAATGTAATGGGAAGCGGAAGTCACAGCGTGCAGAGAGGGCGCAATGGGCAATCCCTTCAGCATTCATCCGTTAACTGTTGTTAACAGCCAAGCAACAATGTGAGCAAAGAAGGTGAAGAATGACTAATCTCCTCCCTTTGGGTTATTGCATTCACTCTGAAGATGTCACTGCAATTGCACTTGTTTCTAGTCTGCTGAGGTGGCTAGAAAAATTGATATGCTGCTGAAGTTTCTTCCACACCAAGGGCATATCAAGTCTGTTTTCTGTAGAGCATGTGCATGAGCAATGGGCAGTTCTTTTGTCATGATCGCTGTTGAAATACAATCCTACTCCCTGTCAATCTTCTGCAGCTGTGGGCTCACTCTCAGCCTCTTTCCCTTCCATCAATCATCTCGATACCATGTAGGATCATATCCCTGGCTATCCTAGGAAATGTGGCCACTGTCTGTGTGAGATGACTGCCAGTTCAGCTTTTGTCTTTATCATATGTCAACTTTGAGGATACATAGTTACACATAAACACCCATAGAGCCACATACAAATGCATCCCAAGGTGTGTATCTTAATGTATATGACATATGTTAACACATGTTAATGCCTACTCAAGTGACCTCATTTATCCATTATCCACAGTGAGCTGTGGTGTTGGTACAGAATACTAGACTTGACCTGGCCATACTATAACAATGAGATATTTGATTTTGGGTAAAAAACTTAATTCTCTAGGAGGTCAGTTCTTCATTTGGATGCTGAAAATTCCTCACTCATACCTCCACAGCACATCCTTTCAGTGACTTCATTCACTGAGAACAATTTTGCAAATTGTGGCAAACAATATATTTTTTTTAATCTTAGTCATTGATTGATTGATTCAGCAAAAGTACACTGTGACTCTCCCAAGAACACTGGGCAAGGTCTAAAGGGCCCAAAATTAGATCATCTCTGTGATTTTGCAAGGACTTCATATTTGCACACAATGAAGCACGAGTTCCTTGATGGCCTCTCGGTACCATTCATCACATCCTTTTTCTTAGAACCTATAATGAAACCAGAGTCAAGGTGCTTTCTTTCCTCTTTCCATTTCTTCCTTCTCAACTGCTTTGGCCACCTGAGTCCTCCATACAATCTCTAAGTGTGGCATTCTTGAGGTCTTGGTCTTAAGCCACTTGACTTATTTTCTCCAGCACAATCTTATCTGTTGACTTTAAATTTCATCTCTGAGTAAGGACCTCCAAAAAGTATATCCCTGGGCTTAGGTACACTTGCTTAGATTCAAGATGGTTAGTATAACTTACAGGCGTTCACCCTATTTCCATAGTGCAAACCAGGACTTGACTTGCTTTTCAGCAATCCGTTCCCACCCTCTTTCCTCATCCAAGAATTGCCTCCATTCAAGGGGCCTAGCTGACCAAAGCCTGGCCACAGTCACTCATACCTCCACAGCACATCCTTCCAAAGATTCCCCCATCTCCGACTGCCACCATCGCATCCGAAGCTACCAGCATCACGCACCCACGGGAACTGTGGCAATGAGTTTCTAGTTGGTCGGCTAGAGTCCTCTTTCCCAAAAGAAACTGTTCTTTCTTGAAAACAAAACAAAACAAACAAACCTCAATAACTTGTGTTTGCATTGGGCAGAACCAGAAAACAAGAAATCTTTAGGGTGGTATTTCAGGCTAAGAAGACCCCATGACCTTCTCCTATTACCAGTCACTTCCAGTGTCACCCTCTTCCTGACTTTAGTCACTTTAACCGCTTTGGGGTCCTCAGAAGGCAACTGATCTCCCGCCTCAGGCTCTTGCCCTTGCCTCAAATGGCCTTGATGCCTTTTTCAAACCCATATATCCCTGGGCTTAGGTACAGTTGCTTAGATTCAAGATGGTTAGTATGACTTACAGACGTTCAACCTATTTCCTCATAGAGCCACATATAAATACGTCTTCATTTGGCCACGAACACACACGCCTCTGAGACCCACTGAATGTCACATCTTTATAAATAAGCTTGCCCTGACTCATCTGTCAAAAGTGGAACCCCTGGTTTTTCTTTCTCACGGGGCCTGCACTTTCCTTCATGCCATATATAATGATTGTAGATATGTATTTATATGTACGTATTTTCTATTCATTTTTCCCACTTGAGAATACATTCCATGAAAGATAACACTGGGCTATTTATATTCCTGAATACCCAGCCCCTAGGACAATTTCTGGAGTATACTACAGATATAGAAAATATTTATAGAATGAATGAATTAAAGAATGAAAAGTATTTTCATCTCCTAAGTAATTGACACTTGCCATTGAAATGAAAGTTTTAGTTAAAATATTTTGGATGATAATTTTTATTAATTATGTACTTGAGTTCTTACAGCAAAGATATATAATTTTCTTGATTTTATAGGTAATTGATGAACAAAGTATTAAAAAATTCATTCATACAGACAAGGCTTACATTTAAGGTCTAAAACCAAGTGGACTAGCATACATTACGAAAACTTGGCTTTATCACAGTTAATTAGAACATAACTCAGGGGTTTTCGTTTGACTAGAAATTCAAAGTGAGCCAACAGTAGAATATGGCTCACAGACATTAATATAGACAAAAGCTGTATTAGTAAAACTATAGATGCCAAAAGAAGATAGGTAAAAGTTCAACATTGCTCCGAACCCCAAATGCCTATTCATTTAAGGGTACCAACATTGAAAGGCCATGTTCAAAGGCTACAGGGCATCAGAGGAAGAAGACTGAAGGTAGAGAGGTCATCTCATTGTCCTTCTGAGTTTCTCCAGCCATCTCTGGATAATGGTGGACCCCTGGCAATATTTCTCCCTTGCATTGGTCCATAATCTCTTATTGGTCACTGGTTTCCAAATCTATGTTACTTTTTTAGACTCTCCCCAAGCTCCAGAAGCTCGAATGCGGAACATCTCTCCCTGGTTATCTTGTAGTATTTCAAGCTTAGGGCATAGGAGTGCTTCTCCCTAATACAGCACCCCTTCATTTCAGTAACATCCACTGGTCCCTGCACTGAAACCTGAAATTATTTCTGTCTTCATCTACGTGTGTTGCTAGAGCAAAACACCATTGACTGGGTAGTATATAAACAATTCAGATCTACATCCCTAGTTCTTGAAGTTGGGAAGTCTGATATCAAGGTGACAGCCAGTTGGGTGTCTGGTGAGGGCCAGGTCTCTGCTTCCAAAATGGGGCCTTGAGTAGCATCTTGACAAGGCTGAAGGGAGAAAGACCAAACAGAGTCCTACATCATTCCCTCGAGTTCTTTCCTAAGGCACTAATCCTGTCCATAGGGGTGGTTCACTCATGGCCTCATTGCCTCCTAAAGCCTTAGTTCTTACTGCCATTGCCTTGGATTAAATTCCAACATAAATTTTGGAGAGGACCGCTTCAACTCCTTAGCAGTATCACAGCCCTTTTCCCACAGCCTGCAAACCTACTAAGGTGATGCCCTGTTTTTCACTTTGGTCAAGAGCACCTGTCTTCAATGGCACATTCTCTCATCCAACTACCAACTGCTAAGAATTAGGAAAACCCAGGATTAAATTGCTGGGATTTTCTAGCAAATAACAATCTGAATGTGCATGGGGCTTGCTTGGTCCACCTATGGATGCGTAGGATGGCTTTGAACAGTTGATCTAGGATGTTCCTTCTCTACTGCGCTGTGGCTCTATTAGACCAAGCGGTTCCCACCACCATGCTTGCTAATGCTGCCTCCTCCTATGGTAAAGTCCTTTCTACCTGCACCGATTCTCTTTGCCTGGAGGATGGCCACTTCTCCTATAGCTCTCATCCAAGGCCTTTTTCTCCAAGGAAGTCTGGGCTGCACTTCTTCATCTGTGGCTGCCGAGCTGTCTTAGCCCACAGCTGTTACGACATATGTTAAGCTGTGCTGTGATGATTTGCATAACCTGGATGAGTCAAAAACACCAAGAGTTTTCATTAACGTAGAATCTAAATGTCATGAATAAGTACTGCATTAGCTGGGGAAATTCCAAGGCCCCCCCCCAATATCCCTGAGTATACTGAGGAAGTGGGGGAGGGTTCCTGTCTTCCTTGTCCCATTCCATTCTGAACTTGTACTTTGGATTATTAATTTCTAAGTCCCAAACATCACATTACCTCATCACTGAACTTACCCCCACAATGGTGGCTATTATATGTGTTAGTCAGGTTTTGTTGTTGTTATTATTGTGACTAAAATACCTGAAAGGAATAATGTAGAGAAGGAAAAGTTTATTTGGGGCTCATGGTTTTAGTCCATGGACAGCTGACTCAAGGGCTCTGGCCCTGAAATGAGAGAGACATCATGGCAGAAGGGCATTGGAGAGGGAAGCAGCTCAGCTCATTGGAACTTGGAAGCAGGCAGAGAGCAAAATACATTATTTTCAAGACACACCTTCAGAGTGACCCACTTCCTCCAGCCATGCCCCACCTGCCTGTAGTCACCATCCAGTAATCCATTCAAACTTTAATGCATCAAACTGATAAATCCAGTAGATCACGTTATGGCTTTTATAATCTAATCATTTCACCTCCTGACAGTTCTGCATTAACACATGAACTTTTGGGGGAGATACCTCACATCCAAACCGTAACCATATATTTAAGTCACAGTTTTCCCACCCATGAAAGGAGAAGTAAAGGGATGTGTTCTTGATTGTCAGGAGTTTTAAGTGAGTCACATAGAAAAAGCTCCACCCACGGAGGTTGCTCCTGTTGTCACCATCAACATAATGAACAGGTGAAAGTTGTTTTTTTTTTTTTTTTTAAATAGACTTTATTTTTTCCTTTAGTTTTTGGCTCACAACAAAGTTGAGTGGAAGGTCCAGATTTTCCATGTCCACCCTGCCCCACCGATGTGTGCCTCCCTCATTATCAGTGTCTGTCCTCAGAGTGGTACCCTTGTTACTCTCAATGAACCCAATTGACACGTCATCATCACCCAGAGTGTAGATTCACATCACAGCTCACTCCTGGTGTTGCACACTCTACAGGTCCAGACAAATTCATCGCCACATGTGCCCACCATAACGAAATAGTTCCAGTGACCCTGAAGTCCTTTGAGCCCTGCCCATCCATCCTCACTGAGTTGCTTAGCACCTCGCTTTTGCAGAGGCTGGCTTTGAACCTGTGATCCTCCTGCCTCAGCCTCCTGTGCTGCTGAGATTACGGCATGTGCCACCACACCCGTCCTCCTTCTGCTTCTTATTGCAGAGTTTTGTCATTTTTTTTTCTTCTGCAGGAATCCCCACACCTTGAGGACTGAAGTTAGGATCTATTCATCTAATGAGACCACTGCTCTTGCACAGAAGATCTTCATTAAACGTTCAATTACTGAAACAGGAGAAGGCTTTCTCTTTTCTGCCTTCCAGTGTCCTCAGTGTGTCTTGGAGAGCGTCCTCAGTGTGTCTTGGTAAGCAGCTATCGGGGACATACTCCCTTGTGTTTATATGTGTGCATGTGTCTGTGTGTATATGTACTTGTGCATGTTACAAATAGCAACAATAGCTATGTGTATTCGGGACACTACCTGTACATTATCTCATGTATTATGAAAACACTCTTAAGTTGTGTATAGTTATAATTATTGCTATTATTATTCTTACTATCTTCATTTTACGAATGAGAAAACTGAGGCTCAGAGCACTTAGGTAATTTGATTAATTTTAAAATAATTAGGAATGGGAATGTAGCTCAGAATGTGTGAGGCCCTGGGTTCAATCCCTAAAACCACACACACACACACACACACACACACAAAATCATTAATTAGCACAATCAGGAATTATATCAAGATAACTCAACTGTGAAGCCTGTGGTTTAACTATTACACTGTACAGATCAAGGTATGTGTTAGTTTTATCACAGAGAAGGGTTACTGAAGAAAATCAGCAGTCCAATGCTTCTAAAGACAGAAATGGGAGAGTCTTTTAGATCATATCTAATACAGAATAAGTTAATTAAAAAAACAAAACTCTAGTGAAAACTTAAAATCTTCTCAGGAAACTAATCATTACTCCCAATCATTTCGTGGAAAAAAAAAAAAATCAGTGAATGAAACTCCGTACCCAGTCTCAGGAGAAAGAAGAATATTGCTCAAAAATGTCATTTTGTCATCTCTTCACTTTGACACTTGGAACTGCACTGACATTTTGATTTACAATGGAGTAAGCAAAGGTAACCACAAATCCCAGTTTAGCAGCTCATTTCCTAAAACAGCAGCTCTATGCTCGTGTTTCTCTGATCTGGGTGGGCTTAGCCAACGGGTCAACTTCTAAAATCTGAATGGCAGTAAGCAAGCGATAAGGCAGGTCAGTAATTCCTGATAATGTGTCTTGGAAATTAACTAAAATAAACGATCAAAGAGAAAAGAAAAGGAGAAAAGTCTCAAAACCCCCAAGCTCAACATGGAGGCCAACCTTGATTTTGAGCTCTAGACCGTAAAGGGGCTGCTGGGAGGAAAGCACCCTTGAATTTCTTTGTGGAAGAGGCCTAACGGGTCTTGGAGATCACGGAAGACTCCACATGCCCTGTTTTTCCCAAGATGCAGTATGGTGCCCACTGCAGGCACTGCCGGGGAATCTCATTTGGCCATGAACTACCCCTGTAGCCTGTGCAGTGATTTCTTTGAGTTTAAACATCTTGCAGGATTACATGGGACAACATGCTGTGAATAAGGTCATTGTCCTGTTTGAGCACATGGGTAAAAAAGCTGAGGTCCCCATGTTCAGCACTCTGTGGCCTCTTCGCCACAATCTAAAATTTATGTTCTCTTCTAGTCACTGGTCGAATTAAAGAGAACGTTCCCACAAAGGGCCTTCACTGGGCCCCAACTGGACTTCCTTCTCTCCCCAGGTAACATCATTCCCTTTGACCCTGGGGGTCAACCCAATCCTTTCACTATCCCCCTCCACTGAAACGGTCCTCTTCAACTTCAGAAAAACAAAACCACCATTCTCACACTTCAAAGAATGTAAGGGTCGGTCATTTATTTCACAAAACAAATGAAAGCCATCACCTCCATTTCCTGCATTATATCATACAAGTCTTTCTCCCACCTTTAACCACTTAATCGGGTGGCCTTTCCCTTCTGGAACAGGCCAGACTCCCCACCGTCTCTCCTTCTCCCCGAGCTAATTTCTATGACCTTTGGGTCCTCCATGATCAAGTCCCCCAGGACCCACACCCCTCTGCTTGGCATCATGCCCTGATTACCATGGTGCCTTGCTTCATGTCTCTTCCATTAGACAGGAGGAGCCATGGTGTGGGGATTCTCTGCCTCAGCTCATCAGGGTAGTGACTAAGGCTGTCCGTGGACATTATGTCCCTCTACCTTCTGGGCGAAGATGAGGTTGCACATCATTGCCCCTGTCGCTTAGAAGAGGCCATGTGACTTCCTGTAGTCAATGCCAGGTAAGTGATAAAGAAGTGTGGTAGCAGGTGTCACATAGGTAGGGCACAATTCATAGGTTTTCTTTCATTTACCGTTGTCTATTTCTCATCCTCCATTCTGACTCCAGAATCTGATCACTACAAGAGCTGTCAGTACACTACGGAAGAAGCCCCCTTACCCCTACAGTGGCACCGTGGCTGTGGTCTCAGGGGCACAAGAGAGGTCCACTAAACAACAGCAAGCTCACTCAGCAGGAAGCAACCTCAGAGCTCTAGGGACAGAGGAGGATAAGAGGGAATCCTTCCTCTAATGAGGCTCTGAGTTGATTTTTAGAAGATATTTATGGGAAAGCCAAGAAAAGCCAAGAGACAGAGTGAAGTGGGTATATGAGAAAAAGAATGACATGGGATTTGAAAAAAGAAGAGAAATGTCAACCTGATCAGTACTGTGTCTCCTGATGGTGTTACTAATCCAAATGTGGAGAAGAATCACCCTGTTATGCTTTAGACATGAGGTGTCCCTCCAAAAGCTCCTGTGTGAGACAATACGAGAATGTTCAGAAGTGAAATGACTGAATTACGAGAACCTTAACTTGATCGGTGGATCGATCCACTGATTTGGGTTAACTGGGTGTAACTGTAGGCAGTTACGGCGTGACTGCAGGAAGTAGGTGAATGAGGGCCTGTCTTGGGGATTCATATGTTGTCCTTGGAGAGTGGAGCTCTCTGCTTTCTGGTGGCCACGTTCTGAGCTGCTTTCCTGTGCCACACCCTTCCACCAGGATGTTCAGGCTCACCGCAGGTCCAGAGAAGTGGAGGTGGCTGACCATGGACTGCACTTCTGAAATCATGAGCCAGAATAAAGTCTTCCTCCTCTACATTCTTCTTATAGGGTCTTTTGATGATGGAAATGAAAAAGCTGACTCAAACATACCCTTTCTGCCCAGAGCCACGTTTCCAAGGTGGCACAGTGACCATCAGCGAGCACAGTAAGTCCATGATCACAAGTTTCAAGAAAACAAATGACTGAAAAATCTATGAAATGCACATTGTCTCTGGGGAAATTTATGAAAAAAAAAAAAAGTTGCTGGCTCAACATATCAGGCTGGAGAGCTGTTGTGAGAATACATAGACCCCGGAAGGAATAAAGAGCAGGTCATCACGTCAGATCTAATATGCATGGTGGGGAGTGTGGGAAGGAAAAAAATACAGAAAAAAATGACTGCCGCTGAAAGGTTTAGCAGATTAGAAATAGAGGGTTGTTTTTTGTTTTTTTTAAAAAAAGCTTTTGAGCAGAGCTTGAAAGCAAAATGTTGTAAGCAATCATTTCAAAGAGCCAGCAAAAGGTACAACTTCCACAAAGGTTGTGTGTCCCAACACAAACTTTTGCCCACCTCTGGGGTCCATCCCAATACCCAGGAAAATGGACTTTAGAAGGGGAGAAAACCCCAAACAGGTTCATTTGGAATTATCCATAAAGCAAAAATGTTCTGTACGGTACCTGTCTCTCCGGGAC